GTGATATCGATGCCATAACCTACCTCAAACCACCTGACTTCACGAATCGACAAATATTTACGCCAATATGTGGCTACGGCAAAGAAACCTTTCTCCACCACTGACATATTTCCATCGGTCGCTGTACGTGCATATAAAGTTACATGCGACAACTTCGCAAATGCAGCCACGTCGTTACCCCAGCATTTCTTGATCATAATAGTCCAGAAAACAGATCTCAAACCACTGCAGCTTGTAAAAAGTGAATGAAGTCCTCCATTACAATAGCTGTTAGTTCCGTCTGTAACAATGAAATTCTTACGGATCGACTCAACAAAATACAGCTGCGTACAGTCTGATGTTCAATTAATTTCTACCTCTGTAGTAGACAAACCATGAACGTATTCTTTCATTATATGTTCGCATGAATATGTGTTGACTTTTCCTGTAAAACAGCTTTCATAAGTTATCATGTAATGAGTGCAAAAACTCGTGTTTTGAAGTGCCGTTGTTTGTTGTTTGACTGAACTGAGTTTTGAGAAGTTCAACGCTATTAAATCGTGAGTCATGATTGGCTTATGATGACTTTAGAGAGAAGACGTGACTCGATCACGGTACTAGAACCATATGTTTTACCTACTAGAAGTTATTTTATAAAAGCAATAGACCACACTTTCTATGGGTTTACCGGCGTGATAACCGGGTTTTGCTAAAAGCAGGCCCGCGGCCCAGCGGCCTGCGGCTCGGCGGCCCGAAGGCCCAGCGGCCCGCGGCCCACGGCCCGCGACGGCCCCGCGGCCCGGAGGCCCGGCGGCCCCGCGGCCCGGCGGCCCAGTCCTGTCCAGCCCTGTCCAGTCCTGATTTTCCACAGTTTTTTTGTCCAGCGGTAAGTCCACGCGCATGAACAGATCTGCATCGGGTTTGGGCGTGCAAAATGGACGACGGTGAGTTTGAATTCGTTTACCATTTTAATCATTTGAATCCTTGTTTCTGTTTGTTGCATATTGTTCAGATAAGAACGTTTTCATTCTCTGTTCATTCGTCTCTTTACAGAAACCGATAGAGGACTTTCGTTATCGGAAGAAGTAAGTTATTTGCAAACCATACTTTGAAAGTAAAAATATCATAAGTAATGAGATATGTGAACTGCAAAACTTTTCTACAGCTATTTCCAGAAAGGTTGTCGGAGAAAAATGTGCACGCGACAGTCCCGAAAGGTAATATGGGATATGATCAATACATTGTTCCTGACACTGTAGCTGTCGAACTTAGTTTTGTTGCTTTCCTTTAGCACTTTCAAACATAAGTCCATGGCCTCTCGTGTCATTTTTTCAAATTTCTTCAAAGAACAGTGAACTCAAAACCACCCACAATACCTTTCGGGATTGTCGCGTGCACTTTTTCCGACAACCTTTCCCGAAACAGCTGTATACAGAGACATGTCGATCTATTTACAGGAACCCCACCCCAAAAGGAGAGCGTGTTCTCAAACATTGCTTTCCGACGATGTAAGTGCCGTATTTATTCGAATACGGTAAGTGCCCTGAGCGCTTATTAAAGTTTTGGTCCTCAAGGGCGGTTATTCGAGGCTGGGCACTTCTTAAATTTGCACTATTTTTAGCAAGTAGCAGAATTTTAACCGTTCATTGAAAGTTTTTGTAAATTACTAAGGAAACTCGGTGTTCGGGTAAGTCTCTTAGTGGTACTTACTCGATTTCAATCTCATTGTCACTAAGTTTAACAAGCGAATTCTGCTTCTCAGTCGGGCGACTGGTCGATTTGCCAACGTTACGCTGTCGGACATCGAGGAGGCAGCTCCTTATTCGATGGTGGGCGAAGAAATACGGTACATTATTTCGAGTGTAAAAGGAGTACTTTTCGATCACGGCGAAAAGTGAAAAAATGAAACCCCGCCATCAAGAATTTCAAATTTGTTTGTGTTGTGCTTCAGTTTTACCCTCGGTTTATATTTTCTTTTCCTTTGTTTCAAACTCATTATCATACATTACCATACCCCAAAACAAAGGAAAATAAAATTTGAACCAAGGATAAAATTTAAACTCCAAACGAAAGAAGGTATTTTATTTGAACCCTAAACCCTACGAAATTGTGTACTCAGCAACCCAAATATATTTAACGTTTTATTTCAGATCTAAAGAACAGGAACAAACATGTTGTAACAGTTTCTTGTGCAAAGTGGAACCGTTTCGAAAGTGTTTCTAAATGAAGCTAATGGACCCGGTCCTTATAGCCCCTGTGGACAACTGACTAGCGGACACGTACTTTGGGGCATCGAACAAAACTGAGTAAAAGAAACCCTTTAACAGCATGGCTTATTCTGATATGGAATGACGCCAAGTTTAGGTGCTGAGAACTAACACAACTGGCTGAAGATAACACAACTACCTGAAGGAAAAACAACTGGCTGAAGGTGAAAACGGATCATATCAAGTTCAGGTCTACCCAAAATAGGGCCTAGTCAATCGTAACAACACAAGTTAAGTCAATTTAAATCATGCTT